CTTGTTCATTCTGCACTTCTCAATGGTAAAGCTGTCACAATCCTGATTTTCCGTAAAATACAAAAGTTCTGTCAAGTTTTAAGCAGCTTAAGATCACCCTCAGTAACCATCCCAGTCACGAGGCCGAGACAGGCAAGCAAACAGAAACAGAAGGTGAAGGGATGCAGGCAGCACTCAAAAATCCACTTTGGTTTTCTGTAAGGCATACAAACCACCACTCATTATTCACTTAATTATGTCAATACTTGGAAATGACTGTGTGTCCTATCTTATGGCTCCACTTAGTCAATCTCTTCTACTCATGACTAAAAATCATAAACAAATAAATATCCACTCTGAAAAGATTATGAACATTTGAATGCAAATCAGTCACTATGAAAAAATTACAAATGCAAGAGACTGGTGGTAGAACTTCAAACAAACTATTCAGTTGGGAATAGAGGAAAATTTTTGTTTTCAAAATTCTGCTTTGAAAAGTGAAACGGTAAACATGGCAAGTTCCTGCTCCTATCTGCTCATCTGAGAGGGCACAGGAGAGGAAATGATCCAGCTTTTGTCCCTGCTGAACTGACAGCGAGCTTTTCATCAAAGCATTTCACTAAGAGTGGAACCTCATCAAGGCAGTGAGCTTGCAGTTTTAACTCTGAAGGCTTGGTTTGCAAGTAACAAGAGGCTCATTCGAAACAAAGAAATCAGCAATGATTCTATCATTAAATCACACTTTAGGACAATGCAAGAAAAGAGAGATGAAGAAATAGATAGAACAACAACGTAGGAACCTGTCATCAACCCAGCATGGCAGAAACAGAAGTTAAAAACAAAGTCTAAAAAATTCAAGACTTGCTATCTGGGAATCCTAGATTGTCCAAAATGGTTCATTTACTCTCAAAAATCTCTCAAAATCAGAAATTCCGAAAACCTTTTATTTACCTATAATGTAATACTACTTTGCTCCAAAGGCACTACATGATCGAAGTGTTATGCCTTGTGGCTTTTGCTTCTTGTCAAACCAAGTAGGGCTTTCTATTTCACTTTGTGCTTCAGGTTGGTAATCTCCAGTACTGAAGTGGATAAACCAATCAAGTAATTTCACATGCAGCTCTGAGAAGTCATCGGATGTTAACAACTCATTACTCAACTGGAAAAGATCACAACTAATGACAGATTAAACTCTCCTATTATTATTCCCCTGAGTCATCCAATCCTCACTGTACTGCTCCTCACTTTTTGCTGCCTGCCTCTGTATAACAAGCAATACTGTTGCAGGTAGCCCCTGTGACTCATTCCTTGGGCTCACCCACCTGTGATTTGTGAGAATGATGAGCAATTATAACACTGCTTTCCTCTGGAGTCTTTCATGACATCTGTCCAGCTACTGAGACTGCTTTAAGTTGGATTTTTTTATGTTCAGAAACATAAATTCTTTAATTTTTTACCAAGCATAATGCTACTGGTAATTAATCATTATATTAATACATTTGCTAATCAAAATACAATATCTCGTTATTTTCATAATTTCCCAGGTAAAAGGGGAATGAGCATTTTCTGAGATCAAGAAAAACATTTAACATAAAATAGATGTAATAACTACAATAATCTTTCTAAAAAATGGGAAAACACAATATTTATATGGAAAAGATACTATATCAGCTTCACCTACAGGAATGAGAAAAAAACTTAAGACTTCACATGGATCATATTTTCCAGTGAAAGGTAAATTAATGTTTTCATTCTCTCTTTATCCCAGGAGATGTCAAAACCACACCTTTCTACTGATCTCCTCCTCCCATTTTTGTCGGTTCAAGCAGTGACTACATTCCAAGATCAATGAGACCTGCATCAGATATGAGCATGTTTTTCTTGAAAAGTTTTTGTTCTCCCTCTGTGTGTATTCTTTAACTGAACTTAGATTTCTCAATAATTCTCCCTGCTCCTTAATAAAAATACTCATGTTCCACATCAAGCTTACACACCACTCAGCTGGCACATTCTCCACAGGTTTTATCAGCAAGCTCACCCAAGTATTGCACACTTTAAAGTCCTATGAAGAATCGCACTGATATTCCTAATGACCACAAGACATCGCTACATCTTCTTAATGAAATATTCATGTTCTGGTTAGCTTATGAAGCTTTCAGCACAAGGACTGGGTAAACCACCCACGCCACCTCACAAAGACTTCCAAAACAAACACTCAACAACTGATTTGTCAGTAAACTCTGAATGATTCCTTCTGCTTCAAAGTGAACAGCAAATCTTTGGCATTTTCTTGTATCCCTTCCTAGCAAAAATATAAATTATATTTTAGAGCTCCTAATCTCTACGATTCATATGTCAAACTCCCTAAATTCATCATTTCAAGCAAGTTTTTTTTAATCCATTTCCAGGTCTAAAGGTGAACCATGGACCAGGAAAATCACCTCCTTTTTATTCTTCATCCTCTAATTCATGTTAATAACGAATGCACATGACAACCTTCATGCAATCACTATTGCTGACCAGTAAGATGTCTATATACATTATCTTAGTCACTCCTCCAAAACATTTCAAAAGCATGAGGACAAAAACAGTATCTCCTTCCTTTGTTCATCAAAACGCATAATCACATAGAAGGTGCAAAATCTCCTGCCTACATTTTCCCTTTGAGCCTTGAAAGTTTCAAATTTTTATTTGCTCTGTGTGAATGTATAGAATATATGCAACATAAATCAAAATGATTCCTCATCTTTTCAAAATTTCACAAAGTGGAATAATCTTTAATTTAGGATTATATTTTTCTGAAGAACAAAAATCTGTCTAGTGTATAGGGAAATATCTGTACTTCAAATGTTTCTCGCTGTTCATATTTTACTTGTGAAAATACTTCAGGAATGACTCAGTAAATGAGATAGTATGGTTACATCATCCTATTTATTACAATCACAACATTCCATGAAATTCAAATACCACTCCTCTGGCTGATTTTACTAATGCAGTCATCTTTAGAGATGGTCAGTAATTCAGCAATAAAAAAGGACTGCTCTTTCAACTAGTTCATCACTTGCTCTTTTTAGAAGCAATACTATGATATGGAAGTACATTAAATATATATATATAAACAAAACAATGACAACTGTATCACATAAGACCCTGTTCCTATGACAATTTATGGACATCCTTAGCTTTTGCAAGTTGTTTAAAGAACTTGCAGAATCTTTCCTAAGTGTTTGAAGGAATATCATTTCACTGTGGTAGAGTTGTCTGTTTTGCTTCTCCCCATTAAGAAAAAAATACCAAACAGTAGAAAGCTCCAGTATTTATGGGGTATAATCCAGGACAGATGGTGTGTACAAGACATCTTTTATGCACAGACACACATAACACACACACACATATATATATATAAAATATATGAGCATATAAGTATATATATTTTAACTGAAGAGCATCTACTTTGATGCTTTTGAGGGTATTAACAGTACTCTAAGTTTTTGGTAAATATATTTGCATTATTGTTGTTGTGGCCCTTAGATACTATTCCCATGTTTCCTAGCAATCAACAGCTTGGAGTTAAGCTGATATTTGTTTGCTACATATACAAACTCCTAGCACATCAAATGAAATTTAATTAGTGACTTAGGACATAGAGTTGAAGCTTTCACATTCCATTCAGGATAGAGAACTGACAGGAAAGCAGATTAGTTGAACTGAAATAACAGTTATGCTATTCTGGTGGGAGTTTCAGTCATGTGTAGCAAAAATTACTGGCAGTCCCTGGTATTTAAGACAGAAAATCAGAAAAGAGAAAAAAAATGAACTGCCCTATGATTTTTTTTCCTTCTGAAGCTAATAAAGTTAACGCATCAATGGAAAAGTTGGTACATCAGTAACTGCTATGTAGAACTCAATATATATTCTAACTCAACCTTTAAAAGTATGATGCCTATTCCAGTTTAAAAAAAAAAAAAAAAAAAAGACATTTTTGTCAGTCTACTGTGAAATCTATTATACACAAGTTAAGGCAGAGATTAACAATTAATGTGAATTCTTCAATAAGATACCATGCTGCACCAACTCCAGGCAAATAAAGGCCCATTCTCCAGAGGCTAAGTTTCTAAAATCAAATATTTATTTTCTAAAATCAGGAAGCACTTTTGTTCACTCTTAGGACACTATCCTTCTTTATGACAGGATTATTCACTTAAAAAAAAATTCCACAGGTTGAAAATTAAAATATAGAGTTATTCTTGGTGTTCTGGACTGTAGAAACTTGTATAATACTTTCTGTATAATGATATGCTCTTACAGATTATGGAAAAATTCGATTAAACAATGGCATCTATTTTAAAGGATCTCAATACTCACTGGAGTATATACCCACATACATAAATGCATAAATTGTCATAAAATCATGTAAATTGCAGCGTAATTACATGTTAATTAATTAACAAATAGATTTTTGTGCCTATGACTGTACTGACCCGAACCAGCTATAGAGTTTACAGCTGTCGTGCAAATCCCCACAAAGACTTCAGCACTTAGTTTCACAAGCACAGGCACTGAGCTGCAGAAGCAGATCGTGAGCATTGTAATAAATGTCACAGCTCCTGATCAGCACCAGTTGCAGAGCCTGGTGATGATTTTTCTTTTGTTCTGCTGCTACGAAATTTCTTATCTTCATGTACTGGCCAACGCACTAAACTTACACTTGCTATGGAAGTTGGCTAAAAACCAGACATGACCTGCCATAAAAATATTCCCAGTCTGAGATAATTAACTTTTTGTAGCAAATTAAGTATTCCCTTCACCTGATTTTCAGGACAAAAACACCTCTGTGTAAATCCACTCCAATCTGCGAGAAACATCAGACTTCTATAATTAAACTATTCAAAGGATAAATAATGTCTCCTCCAGATCAGATGACTCTGAATTCTTGACAGTACTTATTTTAAAATGTTTTTCACTAGAGCATCCCCTTACATAAAACTTCAAAATAGTATGAAATTCAGTTTGACTCTTACCAGAAAAGACACTGGGAATCTTGGAAAGAAAACTTTTCACTGTCCGAATAGGAATCCCATTTTTCTCATCTTGCATGCGGGCTACGACATCTTCCATCTGAAAAGAGAAATAAAAAAAAAATTTAAAAATATAAAGAAAAAATAAATCCATAATTATTTCCTAAAGTAAATCTCCAAGAAATCTAGATCAGTCTCTCAGAATGATATGTCCTCACTTTCTAGTTCTTTCTTTAATTTATATTCTATAATTTTATTGAACAGGCTAAAACCGCAAGTAATTTATTCACGACAAACAGTAGAAAATATATGTATTCAAGGACTCTTGAGAAATAAACAGAAATGCAGAACAACTTAGCTAAAGTTAGATTTAGTTAAAGTACCTAAAACAACTTGTCAAAAACCATTGTTGTATATTAAACTTCATGTTTTGATTGTTTTAATGGTATTGTACCACATATAAAAGCAAAATAGACACATACAGGCTTTTAGGGGACTGAGAGAGTACTCAAATAGAATTTTTAAGACAAAGAAGAGCTTTTAACTTCAAAGCTAAAATTCCTTCTTTTGTTTTGAGAAGGGGGAAAAAATACAACATGTTGTAATTCCTGGAGACAGCAGAGCCAAAAACCTAGTATTTCTTTATAGGCAATAATGGAGTAGGTAAAAAAAATATTTTAAATCAATTTTCTGATTTTTTTAAATGTATTTATTTTTACATTGGCTCAGTTTTCCAGATCACTTTTTAGGCTAATTTGGACCATACATTTTATAAATTTTCCCCAACTCAAAGGTCTACTTTCCTATGAACTATGACTGGGAAACTCTTTCACTGGAAAAAGGAGAATATTTAAGTAGAGTCACTGGCTTACAAGGCCAGTTTTTCCCATTTCATAATTGAAGTTTACAGATTTGATAATTTCCACCTTTCTTTCTTTCTTTGAATATCTAACTTCTCAAAATGTTCAATAAAATGATGACAAAATCATCAATTACAACTATTCTTTCTTTTTTCTTAAATAACCAAAATGCTCCATATGAACAACTCTGAGTGACAGGGTCTTTTATACTCTTTTATTATTCAAAGTTTAAAAAATTTTTGTGTGTCACTTCCATACCCCTAATAGATTCCCAAAAACTTCATTAAAATTTGTGGCTGGGCTGTACTGTGGAAACAGAGTAACAGAAAAAAATTCTGTCATGCCCCTTTTTCCTCTAAAGTCCTAATTTGCTAATGTCCCACATCAGCAAATAGCAAACCAGCATTGGGCACAGCTGTGCTTTAATTGGACCAATAAGGGAGTTATGTAGATCCAGGAAAGGGAACAGCATTTGGGGTCACCATGGGTGTACATAGGAGAAAGAACTAATATCCATATTAAAAAAAAAAAAGAAAAAAAGAAAACAAAATAATTTAGCAAGACTGCTCATGAAAAAAGCTACTTATACATAGAGTTTCTAGAGGTTCCCATGTTCTATGTTTTTATAGATCACATATTTACAACCTAAGGGATACAAATCCAGTGTCATTATCCAAACTAAAAGGTAAACATAAAGAGTAGATATTGTTAGCAAGGTGTGAAAATTAAATTTATTGTTCAGAATTAAACAATGTGCAAAATGTAACAGAAGAAAAGAACCAATATTCATCTGACATGGTATTTAATTATTTAAATAGAAAAGGCTATTAATAGAAAATTGTCAAGCATATCTATGCTTGTCAGCCATTGTCTCTGAAATGGCATCAGTCCCTACATTTTTTATCCACATAGTAACTGAAGGTTTGTAACAACTCCTTCCAAATTCTGACTGTAAACTGTCTTATTTTGCCATTAAGTGAATAGGAATTCGCTCAAATTCAAGTAAATATTTTTGCTGATCATATTTGGTGATAAATTCCATGCATGCAGAGTAAGCTTGTGAGAACGTTGCTAGAACCACAGAGTGAATAATGTACATTACACTTGGACAAAGGACAGAAAACAATTTGTACATAAGGACACATGCTAAAGGTAAATTTTCAATATAATAAGGATTGCTACAAACACAGGCCACACTTCTCAAACACAGCATTGCAGGTGGAGAGATGCAGTTACTGCTTGCTCAAGAACACGAGTGCAAATGTTAAATGCCCAGTACTGTCAGTAGTCAGTCTTTTGAGAGTACATGGAAGAAACTCCTAACTTTTACATATGCTTTCTTAAACTTTCTTCATGCCTAGGATTGAATCTAAATAGCATAAAATCTAACTCTGAGAGAGACTGAAGCTCTGGGAGAGTCCTCTGGTTTTGATTAGCAAAGTGAACTCTAGGATGTCTGCACTGCAAAATTACACTTTTATACCCTTTATATCAAGCTCATATTAATGTTCTGTCTGTGCAAAAGGCAGCTCACCCTGCAGCCAGCATTATTGGGAACTGCCTGGATAACTCAGTGAGCAAAGATTACCTCCTAAGTGAGCAGGAATGTTCTGAACACACAACACAACAGCAGTCCACTAATCAGATACAGTTGACCTCTTGCATGGAAATCTAAGAAGTTACTTGTGGTTTGTAGTTATCTTAAATCTTAACATAAGAGCTTAGAAAATGAAGGGAAATTTAAAAGAAAAAAGTTTAAATTAAAGATTCAAACCTATCCAATCTAATATATGCAGGAGCACAGTTTAACTTTCAAAATATGCAGTTGCTGTTTCTGTTACAGCTGCTTTAAATTCAGCAAATATATAATCTCTTCCACTGAAAACCATCAAACTTAATTATATTTGGGAAGCAGCAGTCAAGGCACTCCTCTGTCATTCATCAACAATGACCTAAGACAATGAAAAGGGCAGAATATTTTAATTAGAAAGATGAAAGAAAATCTTAATCTAATTTTGCTCAAGAAGCCTAATCTGGGAAACACATGCTGCTGCCTGATATAATAATTTTCCTTCCTGATGTATCATTGTTTGTTTCTGAGTCACCTGACCCAATGGTCAAAAATTAAATAGAAGCTTCTTCATTTCACCTCAGAATTATAGTTTTTTCTATTCACATGCTCTTACCCGGCTAAATCTGCCTGACCCTCATCTTGTAGTGGGATCCTTTTTAATGCTAAACATTCTCAAGTAACTCAAACCCACAAATAATTTGTCTCAATCACTCTGCAAATGAAGGTCAATATGCTCAAGAACAGGAAGCTGTAAAAGCATATATTTTAGGTTTTCAGTCATAATTATACATCATTAACTGGGAAAGTATAGCTAGAAAGACATTTCAGTGAAGCACAGATCCTACAGAAAGCTTTCTAAATAAATGTCTTCTTCAAAATTTGTGCCATATTTTTACCAGTGAGATAATTCCAACCCTAACAAAAACTCACGAAACTTCTGATGCATAGACAACTCAGAACAAACTTCCAATATTAATATTTAAAGCTTCACTTGTCTCCTTGTGAAGATAATTTGCAGCCTTCATCTTGACACATAAAGACTCTGTGAAATCTATTTCAAAGCCTAAGTCTATGACAACAGTGACAATGCATCTTTTCTAAAGCAAAAAGAAGGTAGATAACAATATCCTGTAATAGAAGGGCTACAGGATACAGGAGTTATTGAACAATGACAACTGAGTTTGCTCTGAACACACTGGGAGCTAGGCATGCCCAACTTACCCCAGGACCAGTGGAGGTCTTGAAAACACACCAGGGGCAGTATCTTTTAGCTACTTACAGCTAGGTGAAAGGAATATAGCTCCTAAGAGCAGAATTTTTGTGATTCCTCAGTGCCACTGTGCCATGTGGTTTGTGGGGTGAAACCCTGACCTTTAAACTTTCAAATCTAAATAATAATTTCATTGCTGCTCATCTGCACATCTTGCAAAAATTATCAACTTGAACCATAATTCAGCGTCACCGCATCTTAAGAACTGGTTTTGGTTTGGGTTTTCTTTTTTTCATTAATTCGAACACAACAAAAGTGAAAATCAAAACTCTTATAAGCGCAGAAAAGAGCTTTTTTCTTCCACTAAAATTGAACCTAAATCTACTCCAAATAAAGATGATCCCTAGACACAAGAATAGTAGAAAAAGTAATTTATCTGGAAATAAGCTAGTTCAAGAGATATGTGGTAAAAACTTGAAGCCTTGGCCTACTTACACATACACAAATGTGTTAATTTGATTTCTGTCCCTTAAAAATAAATAAATTGTGTGCCAAGGAATTAAGACTATACTCAAGAATACCAAAATGAAATAAGCATAATTTTGTACTTAGTTAGCATACTTTAGAACAGGGATTGCTTTTAGGTTGAGTGTGCTGGGGTCCACCCACACTACAGCTTTCTTCATTTTGCTAAAATCTTTTTTCTCCTTTTACACAAATGCAGGGGTGGAATAGCCCTGTGGAACTAGCTACAAACCTGATCCAAACTTGTTAACAAGTACAAAGAATCACAATATATTTCCTACAGTATGCAACATGTTTCCTTAGCCATTTTCCTTAGCCATTTTATCCCCTGTCTACTTTAACACTTCACAGAGTGCAAGGTCATTAGTGCAATTGGCCAGAAGGTTGCAGGAAATTTTCCTCAGCCTGTCCCCTGTGCAGAGATGTACACCAAGCAACATGGGCTGAACAAAACTTGCAGGGTAGGAGACAGATACAAGGTTCCTTACAAAGTAAGGGCCTCTTTTCTTCTGACTGCTTCACTGAAAAGCACAGGTACAGGCAAACTGATTGCCAGATCTAATCAGTAAGAAATAACCGTGGAGGTGGAAATAGAAGGTTTATGGGAGACCTTCAGTTTATTCAGTGTATGAGGCAAAGTCACCAAAGTAAAATAAATAAGTTCAGTTTAAGAATGCTGACAACTTTTTTTCTAAATCAAATGTGTAGAAACAAGATTGTTTAGTATCTTCAAAGGTTTTAGCATTTTCCATTTTATGCAGAATTGGATTATCTCAACTCTTTATTCGCACTTGGTATGAAAACCAAGTTTAAAATATTCAGAAGTTCAGAAAAGTACATTTAGATTCTTGACTAAAATACAGTGCTGAAAGATGGCTGGAAACATGCAAGACTAACCAAATTGCTAATGACCGTCATGCACAAACTCTCTG